GTCTTCATGCTCATACCTGTAACTATAAAGAAGATCATTCAAACTGAAGGGACTTCACAGCAAAAGCTATTACTTTTTGACATTATTTTCTCATTGGACTCCTCTATTACTATTATAATATTTTAATAAGTACTTATTGATTTATTTTTCTTTTATTGCTTTTTAGAGAGAGAAGAAGGGAGAGGGAGAGAGAAATAGAAACGTCAATAGAGAGAACATCGATTGGCCGCCTCCTGCACGCCCCCCACTGGGGATCAGGCCCACAACCTGGGCATGTGCCCTGACCCGGAATCGAACCGGCGACCTCTTGGTGCAGGGTCGACATTCAACCATTGAGCCACACCAGCCAGGGTATTTATTTATTTATTTTAACTTATCTTTATTGCTGAATGTGTTACAGATGTACCTCCCGTTTTCCCCCCTTGACCCTCTCCTTCCCACTCATGCTCCCTCCTGTCTTCCCCACACGACTGTCTGTGTCCATTGGTTGTGCACATATGCATGGAAGTTCTTTGGTTTATCTCATCCTGCCCACCCTCCCCTCTTCCCTTTGAGGTTCATCAGTCTAACAACCAATTAGTACTTCCTGATCCCTTCACCGTTTTCACCCATCCCCCCACGCCCTCCCGTCTGGCAACCAACAAAAAGTCCTCTCTATCTATGAGTCTGTTTCTGTTCTGCTTGCTCATTTTGTTTCTAGATTCAGTTGTTGATAGATACGTATTTATTGCCATTTTACTGTTCATATTTTTGTTCTTCTTCTTTGAGAAGACCTGTCAATACTTCATATAACACTGGTTTGGTGGTGAGGAACTCCTTGAATTTCTTGTCTGGGGAAATCTTTATCTGTCCCTCGATTCTAAATAACAGCTTTTCAGGACGGCGTAATCTCGGTTGTAGGTCATTTCTTTTCATCACTTTGAATATCTCTTACCACTGTTTTCTGGCTGTGAAGTTTCTTTTCAGAAATTGATTGACGGTCTTGTGGGAGCTCCTTTGATTTTATCTCTTCTCTTTAAATTCATTTTTATTTTTTAATTAATTAATTTTTGTTACAGTTGTTTCTCCTTTTCCCCCATTAACACCCTCCTCCCGATCCCGCCCCTCCCCCCATCACAGCATTGTTTTCTATGCTGTTGGTTATGCTGATGTGCATATAAATTCTGTGGTCCTTATTAGGTAACTAACTGCTTTTCTCTTGCTGCTTTTAAGTTTCTCCCTTTGTCTTCAACCTTTTGCATTTTGGTTATGGCATATCTTGGTGTGGACCTCTCTGGGTTCATCTTGTTTGAAACTCTCTGTGCTTCCTGGACTTGTAAGTCTGTTTTCTTCACCAAGTTAGGGAAGTTTTCTTTCATTATTTTTTTTCACGTAGGTTTGATTTCTTCTTCTCTCTCTTCTCCTTCTGGCACCCCCATGATGCAAATGTTAGTACATTTGAAGTTGTCTCAGAGGCTCTTTACACTATCCTCATTTTTTTGGATTCTTTGTTTTGATTGGGTGTTTTTTGCTTCTGTATATTCTAAATTGATGGTTGGCTTCTTGACTTCACCTACTCTACTATTGATTCCCTGTAAATTATTCCTTATTTCAGTTATTGCATCCTTTATTTCTGACCAGTTCTTTTTTATGCTTTTGAGGTCCTCACTAAGTTCCTTGAAATTCTCAGTAAGTTCCTTGAGCATCCTTATAAGCAGTGTTTTAAATTCTGCATCTGTTAGATTGCTTATTTCCATTTTGTTTAGTTCTTTTTGTTCTGTTCTTTCATTTGGGACATGTTTCTTTGTCTCCTCATTTTGGCAGCTTCCCTGTGTTTGTTTCTATGTATTAGACAGAGTTGCTATGTCTCCTAGGCTTCCTAGGGTGGCCTAGTGTGGTAGGTGTCCTGTTGCGTCCAGTGGCACAGACTCTCTGGTCACCCAGCTGGGCCCCCGAGGTGTACCCCTCATGTGGACTGTACACCCTTCTGTTGTAGTTGAGTCTTGATTGCTGTTGGCACATCAGCGGGAGGGGTTTACTCAGGCTGATCAGCTACAAGGTCTGGCTGTGCCCACTGACCACGGCCTCTGACTCCCTTGGAGGATCAGCTGTGCAGGGCCCACCACACAGAGCAAGACTTACTTCATCAGGGCTCTGGTACCCACTGAGTCCACTCCTTGAGTGTGTCACTTGTGGAGGTGGTTGGGTGGTGGTGTTTCAACGTGATCTGAAGCTGTCCACTGGGTGTGCGGGCTCTGGGGCAAGGTCAGCCACTGCCTGTGTTCTATCCAGGGCCACCAGACACAAGCTACTGAGTGATTTGCTGATGGCTGCTTCTTATGCTGGGCTTGGAGGTGTCCAAGCAAAGCCAAGCTGTGAACCAAGGCTGGCTGCTTCTAGTGCCAGGCCTGGGACCACCTACTGAGAGATATGGGGCTCACTGTGGCCAGATGCTGCTTGTTTGAGAGAATTTAGGAAAATCTGTAGCCGGAGCCAAGACAGGCCAAACCTATGGTAAAGCCACAGGGAACAGCGTGGGTGGGCCTGAAAGTTGGGTGGGGCGGGGCCTCAGGGAATCACCAGGGCGGGGCTACCAGTGTGAGCCAGGTTGCTGGAGTCCCAGATATGGGGGTTGTCTGCCGCCCTAGGGAAGGGCTCTGCCAGCACGTCTGCCCAGGAGAAACTGCCCCTCCAGCTCTTGCCCCAATATCAAAAAACTCATTTCTTCCCTGTAGGTCTCTGGTGCCTTTCCACTGCCTCCCCCACGCTGGAGCCTGGAGGGAACAAGTCTGAGTAAGTCCGGGCGCCGGCCCTTTAAGGAGCTGCCTGGGGCTCCAGCAGCCTCAGCCTCAGTTCCCGCTGGTTTTACAGCCAGAAGTGATGGGGATCCTCTTCCTGGCTCTGGGGCCCTGAGCGGGGTGCCTGGTGTGGAATGAGGACCCCTCAGTCCTCAGGGAGGACCTTCCCAGCCGAGGTGTCCCCTGATTTTTATCCGCCGTATGTGGGTGTGGGACCAGCCCGTCCCCTCCGCCCTCCTACCAGTCTCCATGTGGCTCCTTTAATCCCGTAGTTGTAGGACGTCCCTTCAGCTCGGGGTCAGGCGGTTCTGAAGGATGGTTCTGAAGGTTCTGTGGTTTAGTTGTCACTTTGATGTGGTTGTGGGAGGAGGCGATACCGTGTTTACCTACCCGCCATTGTTAGAAGAACATTTAAAAAAATCTTTTTTGTGGTTGTGAATCCTCACCCAAGAACATTTCGCCACTGATTTATTTTGTATTTATTTTCAGATAGAATGCAAGAGAGGGAAAGAGAGAGCGAGAAACATGAATGTGAGAGACACATCGACTGCTCGCCTCCTGCGCGGCCCCTACTGCGTTGGGGATCGAACCTGCAACCCAAGCACATGCTCTGGACCAGGAATCGAACCTCTGATGCTCTGGTCTGCAGACTGGCACTGAGCCAAACCAGTCCAGGCAACAGTAGTACCTTCTTAATTTACTCTTCCCTTATCTTACATTTTTTCTTATAAATAATATATATTATTTATTTCCAACTAAAACATAAATGTATAAACTCAAGAGCATGCAAATCAAAATATTATAGTTTCCTCCCTCTAGAAATGCAGTCTAGATGAAGGGTGAATTCATAGCATTCATTGAGTTTGATTAGCCTGGTGTTTTCCCCAAACCTTAGCCTGACAGAGACGAGTCAGGACAGAGAGTAGGGTGAGGCTGGGCAGGGAGACATGACTCACGACATTTATCTAGTTCGTCATAAATTCCCAAAGCATAAAAGTACCCCAAGGTTGGTAAAATTACCGGGGCAAGGATGGTGAAAGTAAAATTTAAAAGCTTTGCCTTCTCTGCATTGCTGGGCTTGAAAAAAATGTACTTTTATGTCTCTATATCTCTAAAATTAGATATGTCGATACAAGGTGATGTGCACAGAAAAATAATTCACAGTCCGTGAATCCTTGCCCTGCAGGAACACCCAAGTCAGTGGGAAGGTCCTTTTTGCAGCTAAGAAGTGATGGTGAGTCCAGCCAGTGTGGCTCAGAGGTCAAGTGTTGACCCTGCACCAAGAGTTCGCTGGTTCCATTCCCGGTCAGGGCACATGCCCAGGTTGTGGGCCTGATCCCCAGTGGGGGGCGTGCAGGAGGCGGCCCATCGATGTTCTCTCTCATCAATGTTTCTCTCTCTCTCCTTCTCCTTTCCACTCTGTAAAATCAATAAAGGAAAAAAAAATCTATAAAAGAAGAAAATGAAAACAAAAAAAGAGAGGAGAAATACTTCTATGACAGATAGCATAAGATAGTATTATTCATTAATAGCTTCTTAGGAATTAAATGTCTTATGACTTGAAGAAAAAGATAGGAAAATGACAAATATATTTTTATTTGGAAAGAAATCAGCCAGAATTTGGCTTCTTTGAAACCGTTCCCGGTTTAGCTTCAAGAAAACATTATTTTTGTACTGTTTAAATTGCATTTTGCATGTGACTATAATACGTTAAATATAATGTGTGCCACGTATCAGAGTAAATGTTCTTACGTCTGTATCTCCCGTGTTGGGAACACGAAGACCACCCCCAGTTTCTAGCTCTTCCAGCTCGAATCCCTCGCTCAGTTACTAGCATGTGGAACACACGTACTGATTGCCTGTTAAACCTAAATCATTACATTTATTTTGCAAGTATATTTTAAAAATAATTTTAATTTTTTTCTTTATTGATTCTTAGAGAGGGAAAGGGAGAGGGAGAGAGAGATAGAAACATCGATGAGAAAGAACATCGACTGGCCGCCTCCTGCACGCCCCCCACTGGGGATGGGCCCACAACCTGGGCATGTGCCCTGACCGGGATCCAACCGGCCACCTCTTGGTGCAGGGTCGACGCTCAACCACTGAGCCACACCGGCTGGGCCATAACATGCTCTTGAGGGACCCTATGTCAGGCACAAAGAATAATGGAGAAATATTCAGTACAAAATACAAATACATTTCAATACACAATTGTGTCCTTACCCCTATTGTTCCAAAACTTTCCGGTTTTCTTCTTATCTTTTTCTTGCACAGGTGTGTCCATATCCATTTGATCAGGTACCAGAGAGATTTGGGGCTTGGGATGACGTTGAAGGGAGTCGGCAGGGTTCCTCCTTCTTCAAAGTAGCTCATCCAGAGCTTCGTCCGAGCGAATTTCCATTCTATGTCTGCGTGGTCCTGAGAGAAAAGCACAGCACTGCAGACAGGTGTCGTAGCTGGGAGGTTAGACACAGCTCACAGGCGGCCCATCACCTGACGTGTGTGGCTCTGGGGACAGGCATTAAATTGCTCGTGAAAACACCCCGGAGAGAGTCATCTGAGCGTCTCCGATGATGGCTTCCCCTGGAAGGGATCAGAACTTCCTCGTCCCCCTTCATCCTTCTCTCTTCCCTGAAACAAAGCCCTAAAGTAATTGCACGTTAAAGAGGCTGCAGGGAGCCCTGGCCGGTCTGGCTCAGCGGTTAGAGCATCGGCCCGTGGACCAGAGGGTCCCGGGTTCGGTTCCCGCTAAGGGCACGTACCTCGGCCGCAGTTTGTCCCCGGCCCTGGTTGGGGTCGTGTGGGTGGCAGCCAGTCGATGTATCTCTCTCACATCAATGTTTCTCTCTCTCTTCCCCCCTCTCTCCCTCCCGCTCTATCTGAAGATAAATGCAAAAATGTCCTCGGGTGAGGATTAAAAAAAAGAAAAAGGAGAGACTGCAGTGATTAGTTGTGCCCTGGAGAGGAATGTTTATTTCCTGCATTGCAAGCGGACAGAGTCCAGTTTCATTCGCTTGTGGCCACAAATAGGGTTTGATGTCTTATCCAAGCTTTTGAACCCCTGCCAGTGTGAACGACCCTCGTGGGAGCTCAGAGCCCAGCCTCCCGATATTCCCAGGAAACGTGGTCTATTTCCACGCGAATCATTGCCGCTAGGCGGCAGGCACACACTCAGAAGGACGAGCCTCGGACAAATGTGCAGCAGGACTTGAGACCACCCTGAACCTTGACGTAACTCTGGCCAGAGGGCAGCAGACAGGCGATGGCCGGTGGGTGCCCCCAAGCCTGAGGTTACCCTTCATCGCCCCTCATTAACGACTCTCTTTATGTCCCTCCTGGGGGATTTGTGGTGAGTAGGGGGAGGGCGGCCAGTCTCCTCTCGAATTGGTCATACACTGAATTAAGCCAAAAATCTGGGACGTAGGAAGGCAAGAAACCAGGCGTGCACACAGAGAAGGAATTCAAAACCCCTCACTGTGACCCACTATGACAAGAAAGAGCTCCGATTTCAGAGTAGGGTGCTGTCAGCCTGGGCACCGTCCTGAGGGTCCTCTGTGTGCTCATGAGCACAGGGTTGTCCATCCACGTCCACCGAGAACAATCCAGGTTTGCGTCTGGGCGTCGGGCAACAGTACTTTCCCCAGGATTCACCCCGGCTGGGAGCGGCCTCCGTCACTGACAGCAAATGCCCGATCGGAGGCGTCAGCCAACAGATGTGGCTCAGTGTCCCTCCCCAGTCTCCCCCTGCCCCCCCCTCTCGTTCCCTCTCCGTTTCTTTCCTTCTAAACAAGCTCACAGATTCTAGCTGAGGGAGGGACAGTGGACGTGTTCGCTGCTGTCACGGAAATAGGACTCAGTAGAATAGGCTGAAGGTAACGAGAAGGTAGCCCCTCCCTGACCGGTGAGTGGTTCCGTTTGCCCTGATTCTCAGGGAGTCTCCCATTAGGGGCTGTCTTGACCTCGTTATGTTCCTGTACTCGGAACGTAAAGCAGTCTTCCCGCTGTTCCTGGTTGGGGTTCCCAGGGAGTCTGCATGAACCGGAACAGAGTCAGGCTGGTGATGACTAAAAACACCTTGTGCTACTCATGCTCGAACTTAGTCAATATTTATTTTTTATTTTTTTGTCCTCACCCGAGGATATTTTTCCATTTTTTGTTCAGATAGAGTGTGTGGGGGGGGGAGAGAGAGAGACTGACGTGAAGGGACACATCAAGTGGCTGCCACCTGCACGACCAACCAGGGCCGGGGACAAACTGCAACCGAGGTACATGCTCTTAGCGGGAACCGAACCCGGGTCTCTCTGGACCGCAGGCCAACGCTCCAACTGCTGAGCCAAACTGGCAGGGCCTTAGTCAATATTTAAAACTTCACTTAGGCCTGGCCGATGTGGCTCAGTGGTTGACGTCGACCCTTCACCAAGAGGTCGCCGGTTCGATTCCCGGTCAGGGCACATGCCCAGGTTGTGGGCCCGATCCCCAGTGGGGGGCGTGCAGGAGGCGGCCAGTCGATGTTCTCTCTCGTCGATGTTTCTCTCTCTCTCTCCCTTCTTCTTTCTCTAAAATCAATAAAGGAAAAATAATTTAAAAAACCCCAAAACTTCGCTCAGGAGCCTCCTCTTCCAGGAAGCCTGCTCTGACTGCCATCCCAGCATGGTCCTCTCTTCCACACTTTCAACCCACCCTCAAATCCCTTTTTTCCCATCTTGAAATTGTTTATTTACTATTTGTCGTGTCCCCTCAACCTTACGTTCTCCTGGAGGGCAGAGACTTCATTGCCTTGTGTACCCCGAACATCAAGCGCACGTCTGGCAGACCTTGGACGCGCGGGCACTTGCTTTCTCGTTCTCACTGTTGAACTTGAGTCTGTTTCAGGCCCACCCTAGTGGTCTCCGTGAGGACCCGCAGGACAAAAGGGGAAGCCCTCAGCGGGGTCCTGATGTTTCGGGACAGGGGAGCACGTTCCTGCTTCCGGGAGGCGCCGTGGGCAGGGGGCTGGGACCACTCGGGCTCAGCCCTGAGCACCTTTTCTCCGCTAAGTGGTCTCCGGGTTGGGCCTAAACGGAAACAGGGAATAGAGGCCCACCCCCATCTCTGTAAGAAGTAAGCCAGGAAGACAAGCTCCACAGAGCAGCGAGACGATGTCACTCTATTCTTGAACAGTGTTCCCTTGATGAGCTCTGTACGTTTAATGTTTTACAGGACCCCAGGGGTACAGGCAGCCTCTCGTCGGTCGCGTTAGGTGTAGAGGCTTCCGATGTTTGTGAAAGGGTAGTGTGGGAACAGAATTCGCGTTAGGAAAACGTGCTGACTGTGGGAATACAGAGACTCTGAAGCAGATATATAGGGAGGATCTAAAAACAATCAGATTTGTAAGATGCTTAAATAAAGCTCCAACAATTTAGCTCCTTGCATGTAACTCTGGTGACCTAGGAATATCCAAGTGGGGATATATCAGGCTGTGGATCAGGAAGTGAAAATAATGTATTCTTATATTTGTGCAGTTTTCCATCTGTGATAGGTGTAAGTAAAATCCTCAGTGTGGCTTCTGAGAACAATAATAATAATATCCCAGAGTTTCAGTAATAGATTCCAAGATGGAATACAACTCTAGTTATTGGTGGAGAAAATGAGCAGCCCATGATCATCCTTAAAATATGATCCTTAGGGCCCTGGCCGGTTTGGCTCAGCGGTTAGAGCATCAGCCTGTGGTCCCGAGAGACCCGGGTTCGGTTCCCGCTAAGGGCACGTACCTCGGTTGCAGTTTGTCCCCGGCCCTGGTTGGTCGTGCGGGTGGCAGCCACTCAATGTGTCCCTTTCACATCGATGTTTCTCTCTCTCTCTCTCTCTCCCCCTCCCACTCTACCTGAACAAAAAATGAAAAAATGTCCTCAGGTGAGGATGGGAAAAAAAAAAAAAAAAAAAGATAAAGTTGTTCATCGTCCTTGTTTATTCTGTACTTCTAGTGCCCAGAGCAGGACCTGAAGCAGAATATTCGGAAGAACACGGAGGACGAATGAACACGTTAGCGAAGTGTTTGCATTCCAGAGTCAAGGAAACACAATGTTGTATGTTCCGCTACACAGTTCGGGGTCACACCTAAACTGCTTTCGCCAGGCTTTGAAAACCTGAAAATCCTGCGACTTTCCCTGCAGACACCCCTCTGGACTCTCTGGTGTGTCTCCTGCCAAACCAGCTGAGCTGCTCCTACAAGACTGTCGGCAAACCGGGCAGAAGCGACGCAAAGTCCGAAGGGCCCTCGTCCCTGCTGGCTGAGGCCGGGCTGCCCGGGAAGGTGCTTCGAGTTTATCTTACAATCGTGTGTAATGTGATAGCACTAAACTAGCACACACGGCCCACGCGGAGCGTCGACCATTTACGTGACGCTTCTGCCTTATCAGTGGCCGGTTAGAGACCCAGTGACATTGGGGGGCGTGCGGCCCGGCCCCGTGCGTTCTGGGGAAACACGGTTCAGCTTACAGCGATCAGCTGGTACGAGTTGTTCATCATGGCTATCAGCATGTTGAGGAGGACGACCAGAGAGATGACGTTGTAGGTCCCGAACATGGTGGCACCCACGAACTCCGTGAACTCGTGCTGGGCCTTCACGTTGGTCACGTACAGATTGATGAGCCCGAAGATGGACCAGAACAGGGACTGGAGTGTCTCGAATAACCTGGAAGAAGGGCAAAGTGACACGGACCGCCGTGTTAATAGAACCAATGCACATGACAAAGCAGTGAAGCTTGAACACTGTGTATACGATCAATTTGAAAAATACATGTCCTCTTCTGGGTACCTGCCCCCCACCTTCGAAAGCACATATTTGCAAAGACAGATGCGCCCCCGTGTTCGCTGCGGCATTACTTATGGTGGCCAAACCATGGGAACAGTCCAAGGGTCACGGGGTAGAGGGCGGGACAGAGAAGATGGGGGGCAGGTACCCTGTGGGATGCTGCTCAGCCCTAAGCGAAGACGAAATACCGTCTGCGGCCCGACGGGGGGCCGTCAGGGTACCCTGCTGAGTGAGATGAGGCGGACAGGAAACGTCTGATCTCACTCACTCCTCAGATATAAAACCGAAAGCAAGAAATGAACAAACAAGAAAAACAAACAGATAGAAGGTCATAGGCACAGGTAACAGTGTGTTGGTTACCAGAGGGAAAGGGGGAGAAGGGGGGTCACGCTAAAGGGGGTTCCATGTGATGGCAGCCCGGCCGGTGTGGCTCAGTGGCCTGAGCATCATCCCCTGGACTGAGAGGTCCCGGTTCGATTCCCCGTCAGGGCACAGGCCCGGGCTGCGGGCTCGATCCCCAGAGGGGGGCATGCAGGAGGCGGCTGATCCATGTTTCTGTCTCACATCGATGTTTCTCTCTCTCTCTCCCTTCCTCTCTCTCTAAAAAAAAAAAGAAAAGTCAATAAAAACATATTAAAAAAATATATCATTATGAAAGATGGGACGTTGGTTGGTGAGCACAGGATTCAATATACAGATTACGTATTGTAGAAATGCACATTTGAAATTCTATATAATTTTATTAACAGATGCCACCCCGTACATTTAATTAGAAAGAAAAATCAATCCGTGGATCGATTAATGACCAAGGGAAAAATACATGTCAGTAGTAAAATAAACTTTTAGGGTAATTATAAAATTAAACTTAATAAAAAAAATTTAAAAATTGTTGCCCTGGCCGTTTTGGCTCAGCAGTTAGAGTGTCGGTCCGTGGACCAGTGGGTCTTGGGTTCGGTCCAGTCAAGGGCACGGACCTCGGTTGTGATCCGTCCCCGGTCCTGGTTGGGGTCGTGCAGGAGGCAGCCACTCGATGTGTCTTTTTCACATCGATGTTTCTCTGTCTCTCTCTCTTCCTCTCTCTCCCTCCCACTGTATCGAACAACAATGGAAAAATGTCCTCGGGTGAGGATAAAGAAAAAAATAGTTTGTATCATACTAGAATAAACAGTGTACTTGATTTTCCTAAGAACTCTGGAGGCTACTTTTTGTTTCTAAATGTAGCGGAGATGACAAGTCTGACCCACAGGCTATTTTTGTGTGACCTCTGCGTGAAGAATGATGTTTGCTTTTGCAGATGGTGGAAAAAAACACTGAAGAAAGGGTGACGTTCTGTGACGTGTGAAATCGTATCAGTTCACCACTTAACGTCCATAAATACAGTTCTGTTGGAACAGCCGCACTCGCTTATTTATGCTGCGGATTATTTCTGTCCCAGTGACTGAGCGAGTCGCTGGGACGAAGAGCAAATGATCCACAAAAGCCTAAAATATTTGCTATGTGTCTTTTTCATAGAAAGTTTGTCTCATGCTCGGCCGGTGTGGCTCAGTGGTTGAGCGTCGACCCTGCACCAAGAGGTCGCCAGTTCGATTCCCGGTCAGGGCACATGCCCAGGTTGTGGGCCCGTCCCCAGTGGGGGGCGTGCAGGAGGCGGCCAATCCATGTTCTCTCTCATCCATGTTTCTATCTCTCTCTCCATCTCCCTCCCTCTCTCTAAAATCAATTAAAAATTCAAATTATTTAAAAAATATACATGCAAAATAAATGTAATGGTTAAGGTTTAACAGGCAATTAGTACGTGTGTTCCACATGCTAGTAACTGAGTGAGGGATTCGAGCTGGAAGAGCTAGAAACTGGGTGTGGTCTCTGCCACCAGGGTATGCAACCCACACTCTGGGGTGTACTGTGCTCCATGTATATTTTTTTTCTTTATTGATTTCAGAGAGAGAGAGATAGAGGGAGAGAGATAGAAACATGGATGAGAGAGAACATCGATTGGCTGCCTCCTGCACGCCCCCCACTGGGGATCAGGCCCACAACCTGGGCATGTGCCCTGACCGGGAATCAAACCGGCGACCTCTTGGTGCAGGGTCGACGCTCAACCACTGAGCCACACCAGCCGGGCCAGGATTGTCTATTTCAAGAGAACCATTGTAACAGCTGGACATGATTCCAAGAAAGACCACAGAGCACTTACAGTCTCACCCAGGTGGTCACAACAAGACTGTGGTTGAATTATAGGGTAAAAACACAAACAAGAACTATCTCGGGCAAGACGAGGAGTGAGGGTCTAAGTCTTCAGGGAGATTCGCATTGGTTTGGAATCGTGATGTAGGAACAAGTCAGTGATGTAGGAACAAGTCAGTGATGGTTCCTGCAGCCCCCAGCTCCAGGGACATTGCTCCAGGTGTACGCGCTCACGCAGGGGGGCCCAGGTAGGCCTCTGACCCCACCACCCAAAGCCTCAGTGGATTCGATCAGTCGAGGTCGAATGACCTGAGCAGGGCCATGTGATGATGCGTGAGATGACCCTAAACAGTCCAATTTGTTCTCTAAGAAAGTTTATCTTAGAAACATCAAGAGGATGCGGCATTGTCAAAAGGGACAGAGATGACCGGAGCTGCGACGTGGGGTCAGGATCGCTGGAATTGGGAGCAGCTGAAGGTGTGAGGCAGGCCGCACTGGGAAGCAGAGGTTGAAGATGGAAAAGCAAGGCAGTGAGTAACCCACAGAGAACACACGGACCGGCCGGATCGTGTTGATGTTGGTTCTCAGCGTCAAACGCCCTGTGGTCCCGCCCCTGGCTTTTCCTGAAGTCCGGCTGGGCTCTAAGTGCTGCCCTTTCGAGGACCCGTCTGCTCAGAGCATCAGAGGACGGCAATCCTGTGTGCGATACAACAAGACACCTGCTACTTGAGCGACGGGGCTGTGTCACCAGGACAATCTGACCAAGGGGCCCTCCGTCAGGGTTCAGGACTTTTCCTCTAAGCGACTGCCCTTTGATAAAGTAGACGATTTCAAATGTTAATTGTGATTTCAAATGTTCATTGTGTACTTACATTGGAACAGTCGGCTATGAAATGTAACATCGGAGTGAACCACGTATGTTCTTAAAGGACAACCCAGAGGTCAGCTTCTAACGGTACCAGGGAGAGTGAAACTCATCGGTTCTAGACAAAGGTCACTGGACGTTACTTTTTGGAAATTCTGTCAGGAGAGAGTAGACCTGACCCAAGGTCGTGAGTCCTTTATTTCAGTAACCTGTGGTTCTTCCCATGTCACAGAGAAGAGGACGGGGCGACGTGTTCATGCGTCGGGGGGAGACCGCGGGAAAGTCCCCGAAGACAGAAATCGCAGTCCGAGCTCACGGTCAGGAGCCCAGCAGGACGGCTCCTGCAAAGGTTCACGTGAGGCAGGCGCGAGAGAACAGAACACAAGTTCGCCAGAGGGGACGGCCGAGCACCGGGGATGACAGAGGAGTGTGACCTGTCGGGAATCGGTAACCGTTAGGAAACGTTGAAGAGCATCGTCTTGGGAACGAGGGAAGGTCTGACGAGGACGTAAGTGATTGGGTTGCAGCCGATGTCTCCAACTCCCAATCCCTCGATACATAAAGAAATTCTGAGAAACAGGACGTTGCAGGTCACCACCCCAGGTGTCCAGGTTGAACCACCTGGGAGAGGAGCCCCCTTGGTCTGCGGTTCTACCTACGCAAGTAGCCGAATCACATTGTCCTCGCCCTCTAAGGGCTCCCGGCCCCCCACCCATACACCCCCCAGGTAACCTGCCTGTTAGAGATACGGGCGCTGACCCCGCCTTGGAGTCAGCCCGGCAGGTGCCTCCCCGACACGGTTCTCTTGCCTGAACCCAGGTGTGCTCTCCCTTCGGCCGACCTCCCCGTAAGAAGCCGATCACCGAGGGGCCGGCATGTCAAGCTGAGCAATTTGGCGACATCCAGTAAGACGTGCGAACAGATTTCCACGTTTTAAGCAGAGGAGGGTCGAGATTTTGGTTTGCAAAGATCACTAAGGGACACGACGGAAGACACACGACCGCAGGCAGAGCCAGGGACAGGGCAACCGAGACGTAGGCATGCGAGCTCAAGCGTAGTGACTGAGGTCACGCAGGGCTACTGATCCCCTCCTACTTGAGAAGTTGTGGTACTCTCTTCTATGACATCAGTCTTTTATTTTGTTTTCTTTATTGATATTAGGAGGGGGCAGTTAGAGGGAGAGAGAGACAGAAACATGGATGAGAGAGAACATGACTGGCCGCCTCCTGCACGCCCCCCACTGGGGATGGGCCCACAACCTGGGCATGTGCCCTGACCGGGAATCGAACTGGCGACCTCTTGGTGCAGGGTCGACGCGCAACCACTGAGCCACACCAGCCGGGCTTTGTTTCTAACGTAAAATTCTGTAATGGCCCATGAACCGGGTCCGACTTGAGGTGTGTTCTGTGAGGCTGTGTGAGCACTAAACACAGTGGTCGTGAGTCTGCGCCGTCCAGCGAGTCTGACGGAGCCCCCGATGGGGACCCCAGACAAGCCGAGTGTTTCCCAGGTGCGAGGGCAGAGACCTCTGTGTACGTAATAATAATGGACTAGGTCTGCACTGTTTCTACATGCTTAGATTTTTGTGTGGAAAACTACTGAATCAGAGGAACAGGGGAAGGGACTTCAACCGCTGGAAAACACACGAGACAAGACTGAAAAGCACTCGGATTTTCTCCCATGATTTCTTTTACGTGAACCTATTTTATCTTTCGAGGTGCGTGTAAGCTGTCGACAGGAAACCGATTTCCACTGTATTCCCCATTTTGAAACAGTGTGTATGCACCTTGAGAACAGCACGCTAAATGAAATAAGTTGATTAGAAAAAACAGAACTATACGATTTCATTCGTACGTGGGACATAAAACAAATTCATAAACACAGACAACAGAAAAGTGGTTACCAGAGGGAAGGGAGGTGTGGGGGTCACAAGAAATTTAGCAAGTAGCCCTGGCCAGTTTGGCTCAGCGGTTGAGCATCGGCCTGTGGACCAGAGAGTCCTGGGTTCGGTTCCCGCTAGGGGCACGTACCACAAAAAAAAAAAAGAAAAGAAACAGAAATGAAAAAGAAATTTAACAATTAAAAAAAACCAATATATATAGGTCTCCTTTTATGGGGTCATTCTGAAAGAAATGACAGTTTTACTAAAACTTAGCCAAAGAACATATGTGCATAACCCACAGACACAGACAACAGTGTAATAGTGTCAACAATAAAAATAAAGTTAAAAAAAAATAGCATTTAGTTTGAATACCATGAAGATCACCAGTGTAGAAATCATAATCTCATTATTTTTCTTTCCACATACTATGAGACTTCATTTATCCGAAATACCCAGAAAAGCAAAATTAATAAATAAAAAATAAATATATAAAATAAAATAAATGTTATGGATTTTTTTTTTTTTTTTTATGAAGGAACCCTACATTCAAAGGCATGCTGATTCTGCGGTCTGCATGCAGCACAATTTCTCTGCAACCACCGTCAAGGATTTTTCAAATGCACAGCCTGCTCCATTTCTAAGCTCCGCGCGCGCTGCCGGCAGGACGCGGGGACTCACGTGGAAAACGCGTTATTCTGCTTCTCGCACCGTATGCCTTTGCAGCTCAAGCCTTTGGTCTCCTCGTAGTAGAAGTAGAGCTGGTTGAGGCCGTTGGCGAAGGCCAGCAGCACCAGGCAGTAGATGAACAGGAACTTGAGGATGTCCAGCAGCATCCTGCCCAGGGAGATCTGCAGAGGCCCCAGGTGGGAGTTGGCGGTGAACAGCGAGATGAGCCGCAGGGAGCTGAAGATGTTGGCGATGGCGAACAGCGCTTCCGCCACCAGAGTGGGGTGCCACATGTCCCAGGACTCGCGGGGGTTCAGGGCGCTGTACTGAAGGAGGGAGAAGCAAAGGAAAGTGAAACACACGCACGGACACACGCCTGCGTCCGGCTCAGCCCAGCACCAGGGCCCGGTCAGGCGGCTCACGTCCTTCCCCACAACGGCAGTGACACTCGCTGCAAAAAAACGTCACAAACAGTATTAACGTACAATTGATCAACTTCTGTTTCAGTGGCTTCTTGATCTGTCCTTCACATTTACAGTTAACATGTGAATTAAATCTATTCTTGCCTTTCTGACAGTATTTCAAAACCAGAAGTGTTACATAGTTAAAAAAAAAACACTGGATTTTATATTGGGAAAATATAGCGATATTATTATAACAAAGAACTACATTGTAAATGAAAGGCACTAAATCTGAAACAAAGTGAGCAATGACTTTACTTACCACATTTGACACAATTGCCTATTCAGAGGGAAGCGTGTAGGATACATATTACATATAAGTGAGTGGAGGTAGCGGCCTGTTGCCTCGGACACAGCAACAACCAATATCGGCATCATAGTTAGTGCTTTGGATTTGTTATATCCTAAATGTAGATAGAAACTAACCTGGGCCCTGGCCGGTTTGGCTCAGTGGTTAGAGCGTCAGCCCGCAGACCAGAGAGTCCCGGGTTCGGTTCCTGTTAAGGGAAAGTACTTTGGGTGCAGTTTGTCCCCGGCCCTGGTTGGGGTCTTGCGGGTGGCAACCGGTCGATGTTTCTCTCTCTCTCTTCCCCCCTCTCTCCCTCCTGCTCTATCTGAAGATAAATGCAAAAATGTCCTCGAGTGAGGATAAAAAAAAAAAGAGACTAATTTGGAAATCACGTTAGATGTCAATAAATTGTTACATTTTATATTTAATGTGTAACTATGTGTTCTTTATCTGAACATGCCTTAATTTTATGACACGTGGTTTGAGAAACATATTTGCTATGTTACACTTTGACCAACAATTATTTCAAAAGTGTTAAATAAAATGTCGGCTTTGAATTATCTTCATATTAAACTATATAAAGAGCACAATGAAATTGATTCCTTGTAGTATTGAAGTAAATTTGCTCTCCTTTAAAAAAAATGGTCAAATGTGCCCTATGAAATGTTGCATCATGAAAGCCTACATCTGTATAAGAGGTGAATAAACTGAATTTTCTTCTTCATATCCATCACTATAAAATATGTCTACACAACTGCATGTTTTGCCATCAGAATAAACTTTTCATTTCTGTGCATGTCCTATCAGAATACTTCCTTTCTCTTTATATTGTATGTTATACCCATGACTTCCCAGATGTTAACTCTCTTGAAACTAATGGAGAGTATGTTTTAGTCTCCTCGGGGAAAAACACATCACAGAGGACAGACTCTGTCCCACAAGCAGGTCCTGAGGGTGACCATGCAGAGCCGTTCGACACAGGGGCTCTGACGGTCTGCACCCCCGTCAACAGTGCACCGGCCCCCCTTCTGCCCACATCCTCACCAGCACTGGTTGTTGGTTGATTGATTGACGATAGGAGTTTCTTCAGAAAATTAAAAATGAAACTGCCTTATGACCCCAGCGATTCCACCCTTGGGAATATATCCAAAGAGACCGAAATCACTGATTTGAAAGAACAGATGCACCCCCACGTTCATAGCAGCACTATTGACAATCGCTAAGGTCTGGAAACAGCCCGGGTGTCCATCAGTCGATGATGGATAAGGTCGTGGAACATGTACACAATGGAACACGCCTCGGCCCTCAGCCACAAAAAGAAAGAACTCTCACCTTTCGCCACAGCACGGATGGATCTGGAGAGTATTATGCTAAGTGACGTAGGCCAGCCAGAGAAAGACAAGCGCCTATAATTTCACTTATATGTGGAATCTAACGACCGAAATAAACTAACCAAACAGAAACGGGCTCATAGATGCAGCGAGCAGACGGCCCGCTGTCCGGGGGGAGGGCACGTGATAGACGTGGAATCACAGTTGTTTAACAGCGGCTCACTGTGCAGAAGAGAGTTTCTGACAGGCCCTGGAAACGGCTGGCCATGTTTCAAGAAAGAGAACAGGCCCTGGACATCGGGCACCCGGAGCCCAGACCAGGGCAGGCCCATCGGAAGGGGGACGGCTTGGCAGGCGAACCTTCGCAAGGACATGAAAAGAAGCAGACCCTGGGAACTTGCTAAATTTAGGTTACTTTTCCCCACCCACTAGCACTGTGTAAGAGTTTGTTTGAAATGTAATATCAGAGAGCAGTTTCCCCGGGGGTACCATTCCTGCGGCTCACTCCACGTAGCCAGCAACAGGAATTCATCTCTCACAAATGATGCAACCTTTTCTCTGCTTATTGGCTCAGGAGTGATGGGCAATGACTGACTTGACTTTAGGGTCCAGTTCCACTTGGGGAGCCTGGGTGAAAAAGGTACAAGGATTAACAAAAATATAAAAACCCTCATAGACACAGACAATGGCACGGTGATTGCCAGAGAGAAAGGGGGTGCGGAAGGTTGAAGAGGGGACCGAGGAGATAAATGGTGATGGAAGGAGACTTGACTTGGGGTGGTGAACACACAATACGATATACAGATGCTGTGTCATAGAATCGTACACCGGAAACCTTTATAATGTTGTTAACCGATGTCACCTCAATACATTCAATAAAAATTAAAAAATAAATAAAAAATAGAAAACTGAAAAAAAAATCGAATTTGAATTAGAGGGAGACTATTTTCTATTTTTAAATCCTGGTACCTACTATAAACGTTCCCACGTATAGCTTTAGCATAAAACACAAATGACTGAACACCTAACAAATTAAAAATTTAAGATTTAAAAAATGTGTTATAACAAGTATCAGACTGAGGGTTTGTGGTAACAAACGCTACCACCAAATTCTCTCCCTTTCGTCCCCAACATATCATGTCATCTTTCCCTGCAGAGATTAAGATCACAGTCACCTCCTTTTCTCACTTTTGTTGAAAGACACACCTGTTTAAGCAGAGGACATGCCTCCCTGTTGACAGTGAATTTTATATTTCTGTCTGTCTCTCTGACTCATATGGCTTATGACTACATTTCAAAACGTACAAAAAAAAAAAAAAATAGCCGGCCGGTGTAGCTCAGTGGTTGAGCATCGACCCTGCACCAAGAGGTCACCGGTTCGATCCCTGGTCAGGACACATGCCCAGGTTGTGGGCCCATCCCCAGTGGGGGGCATGCAGGAGGCGGCCAGTCGATGTTCTCTCTCATCCATGTTTCTCTCTCTTTCTTCTTTTCTCTAAATAGCAATAAAGAAAAAAATATATGCATATATATAAAAAAAAAAAAACCCACAAAAACAAACCAAAAAACAAAAACAAAGAAACAGTAAGCATTCTTAAGGAATATGAGCGTTTTCTGGGAATTTCTCACAATTGGACACCATGCCCTGCAGGTAGTAGCTGCTCCGGAGACATGTTCTTCCATCAAGGATTCGTACACGGGTGAGGATGACGGGGGCAACTAATTGTAATAAAAATGCTCCAACGGAGTAACATAAAGTGTTGTTGGAAAACAGAAGAGAAAATGGTAGTCCAGCCAGGGCCCGAACAGAGATTCTATGTTGTTGAAGGCTGAAGGACCCAGCAGTCATCCAGGCCCGTCAAGATGCTGGTCCTGATTCTAAGACCACAGCCAGCCCGAGGAGGCTCCATGTGAAATGCATCGTCGCTTGTGAATGACCGTCCAGGGGGGGTTCGCGAAATCCTAAGAGGAATGTTTTGCACTCGACAAATCGTGAAATGCTACCTTCTTACCCAGTCTGTTTACTTAAGTCCGCCTCAGAGTCTAGCACTGGGGATTGTTGGGAAACAACGACACATAACGTGTTCACTCGCGCAAGGTCAGGGTTTCCGGAGCAACCCACGCTGGCCTCGGGGTCACAGGACGTTAGGATGACAAACAAGCCTTGTGAAGTAAAAATAGAGACTCCGGAGAGACTGCGAGTCCTGGCCCCTGCACCATCTGCTTATGTTCGAAGGAGAACAAACGGAGGGACATTTGCCTCCCCAGGGAGAATCTGTGTCGTTTTGAAGTTCAGGTCTTTCTCCTTTTCCACGGGTAAGACGGGCAGTTGGCACAACTACACGGTGAGGTTCCCAGTTGTCGAGTCCTTCCCGCAACACACGCTTGTGTGGGAAGGGTGCATCGGGGACACCCGTGGCCCTTTGGGGTCATGAGCATGGAACCGAAGTGAACGCTGCTATGCGAGTGATGACGTTTGTTCCCCGATCCAACCGCCTTGTTTCCTGCCAGGAATATAGTAGTTCTCCCTTATCCCCCGGGAGACAACCCAAGACACCCCGCCGATGCTAAACACTGCATTTGATAGTGTCAAACCCTGTTTATCCTATGTTTTCTCCGACACACACATACCTAGGACGAGGCTTCATTTATAAATCAGGCGCAGGGCGAGACCAACAGCAATGATGAAGTAGAACAATGGTAACGTACGCTGTAGTAACAGCTATGGGAATGACTCGGGGCCATTGTTAGCTCCGCAAGCGTTGCTGGGACGCAAGCGTGGTGATACTGTGGAACTGGGTCTGATCCCCGCGTCGGTGCGAAGTGATCACGGATGGGGAGCAAACACAGTGTGAGGCCCCGGACCAAGGTGGGACTCACATCTGGGCAGGACCGAGTGTAACGGTTCATCACGCCACTCGGAACAGAGCACAATTTCTAACTTACAAATGGCTTATTTCTGCAATTATCAATTTAACGTTTTCAGACCGTGGTTGCGGAGGGAAACTACAATCCTGGAAAGCAAAATGGCAGATGAGGTATAAAGAGATACGAACATTTAGTAATTATCACTTTTTTTTCCTTTATTGATTTGAGAGAGAGGGACAGAGAGATGGAAACATTGATGAGAGAGAACATAGACTGGCCGCCTCCTGCACGCCCCCCACTGGGGATCAGCCCACAACCTGGGCATGTGCCCTGACCGGGAATCGAACCGGCGACCTCTTGGTGCAGGGTCAACACTC